GTCACCCAGTTAGTCTCAGCTTCCCGCCGCTCGTTTGCATTCATCTATGATGGCTTCACGGACTTTCTCCGCTGTTTTCGTCGCTCTCTGTGCTTTCCAGGACATCAATTCCGTGACGGGCAACGCCAATGACTGCGACACAGAGTGTGCCACAACTTACCCTGGGTCATATTGTAAGTATTGGAAGACGCCGAGCACCTGCTTCGGCTCGGATGCCCCGTGCTTCTGCGGCACGAGTGGACCGACTGAGGCTCTCCGAGGTTCCACATCCTCTGCTGCAGTCACGGATGAGGTCACTGAGGCCGCTACAAGCGAAGAAGGTACGACAGCAGCTCCCGGAGCGACGAGTACGACTGGTTCTGAAGCTACTGTCGATGCCACAGTAGCGGCCAGTACAGCTGCGGTGACCGATGAGGTGGCTGTCACTACTGCACCTCCTGTGACTGGCGAAGTGACCATCAGCACGGCAGCTGGGGAAGCTCCCGGTAGAGACAAGGATGACTCTGATGCTACCACCAAGGTCGCTACGGAGGCTGCAACTGTCACCACTACGATCGGTGCTCCTGTTGAGCCTACTACTACTATAACGTCCCCTTTCCCGGTCAGCACAGCTGCTGTGACCGATGAGGTGGCTGTCACTACTGCACCTCCTGTGACTGGCGAGGTCACCATCACCACGGCAGCTGGGGAGGCTCCCGGTAGAGACAAGGATGACTATGATGCTACCACCCAGGTCGCTACGGAGGTTGCGACTGTCACGACTACGATCGGTGCTCCTGTTGAGCCTACTACTACTATAACGTCCCCTCTCCCGGTCAGCACAGCTGCTGTGACCGCTGTCACTACTGCAGCTCCTGTGACTGGTGAAGTGACCATCAGCACGGCAGCTGGGGAGGCTCCCGGTAGAGACAAGGATGACTCTGATGCTACCACCCAGGTCGCTACGGAGGTTGCGACTGTCACGACTACGATCGGTGCTCCTGTTGAGCCTACTACTACTATAACGTCTCCTTTCCCGGTCAGCACAGCTGCTGTGACCGATAAGATTGTTGATACTACTGCAGCTCCTGTGACTGGCGAGGTCACCATTACCACGGCAGCTGGGGAAGCTCCCGGTAGAGACAAGGATGATTCTGATGCTACCACCCCGATCGCTACTGAGACTGCCACTGTGGCTACCACGATCAGTGCTTCTGTTGAGCCTACTATTACGACGTCCCCTCTACCGGTCAGCACAGCTGCTGTGACCGATGAGGTCGCTGTCACTACTGCGGCTCCTGTGACTGGCGAGGTGACTATCACCACGGCAGCTGGGGAAGCTCCCGGTAGAGACAAGGATGATTCTGATGCTACCACCCCGGTCGCTACTGAGACTGCGACTACCACTAGGATCGATGCTCCTGTTGAGCCCACTACTACTATCACGACCCCTCAACCGGCCAGCACAGCTGCTGTGACCGATCAGGTTGTTGCTACTACTGCAGCCCCTGTGA